ACCAAAAAAAGAAAAAAAAAAAAAGAATGACCATAGGGTTTTTTTGTCTCTCTTCTCTTCTTTTCTCTTCCCTTGTGCTTTTCTCCCATTTTTTTCTTTTTTTTTTTTTTTTTCGTCATTACAGCATTACTGTCCTTCCAGGAGCTTAGTGAGATCTGGAAAAGTAGCCTCTGTCATTCGATCCACATAACTTGTGAGAACTTTACTGTGCTTTATGTACGCAAAAGGTTTACTCACCTTCTCTGCCACATCCATATGAACAATGGGTAGAAATGCGGCGTAGACGGCACAATCATACGAGGTTGGCTCATCTCCCAATAGAAATGATTTCTCTCCAATGATGTGTTCTATTGTTTTTATATCCTGCAGGTACTCCTGCTCAGATTCCTCCGTTGATGTATCAATTCCCGCCAACTGTGCGGAGCGGGTGAGTCGGGCCCGCATGCGATAAACAATAATACGCGCGATTAACTGCGGTACTCGTAAGGCACGTGCAACATGTGGAATTAACAACTTTGCGCCTTCTCCAGTAATGGTGCGGTAGTAGGCGAATCGATCTCCGTATTCCAACATACTTCCAACAGCCGTACCCAATGCCCGTTGTTCTTCTGTGAGGTGTTTATCGAGTTTAACGCGAAACTGGGCGGTGATGTAATCTATAATAACATTAGACTCCGCCATACGTTTGCCGTTGTGTATAATGCATGGTAAACATCCCGTGGGAGAAACTTTAGTGGAGGAGACAACATGCGCCTCGTATGGAATCTTCGCTAGGCGCAGGAATGTTTCCAGTTTTGTACACGGTGGAGATACACTTGGGGCAAATCGCCATCGTGGTACGATAAGAAGATGTACAGTGCTGTTCTTACCTTTACGTGCGGCTTCCGCGGTCTCTTTATCCATCGCTGCTGCTGCCGCATGTAGTTTGCGGTGTTTTAGAGTCAATCGAAGTGATATCGCAGCGGCCACAAGAGAGACAACACCCACCGTGGCAGCAGTAGCCACAATAGAGACACGTACAATAGTTTTGTCAAGAACTGGCATTCCTTATTCTTTTTTTTTTATTCTTTTGTATATATATATATATATATATACTGTGATAATAATAATAATAATAATAATAATAATAATAATAATAATAATAATAACAATAATAATATTATTATTATATAATCTAATGGGTGCGACTGAGTGTGATGGTGTTTCGTTTCCTTTAACTTTTATCCCGTTCCCTTGTCAAGGAGGCTTAAAACATCAGAAAAAAGAAATACATAGAGGAAAAAAAAAAGAAATTAATCAATATATAAATATATATTACAAAGTATTTATTTCTTTTTTTATACTTTTATATTATTGGATGTAATAAACACAATGAAAAATAAATAAATAAATACCACAGCACTATTGCTGTAAATATACCTAAGATGAACTGAGGAATGATTCGTTTGCAACATTTCCTCTTCTCTCTGGTCACTCCTAGACCACTATCACTATCACTATCCCCTTTCCCCTAATTAGATCCCTTCACCGTGCAGAGAACTACTAATGATAAGGCACATATACACAAACACACAGACAGAGAAAATAACAGAAGTGAGCACTGGCCCTACACAAACCAGCCTGAAAAGTACATTTATACGTTTTACGTGAAGACAAGGGATAAGGCACGCATTGAATATAGGGCGTGATCCTTTTTCTTTTTTTTTTTTTTTGTTCGAATACACACAAGGAGAGATAGAGAGAGAGAGAGAGAGAGATAAACAAAGAAGCAAAGAAAGAAAAAAAAATAACTACATTCATTACTGACAATGTGGATAACAATATTGCCAGTGGAATAGAGTAGAAAAGATCATAACCCCCCGAGATGGGGAAACAAACACAAAATAGAAAGAGAAGAGGAAGAAAAAAAAAAAAAAAAAAAAACTCGATACTATGCCAATCCCACCTTCACCACCATTTCTCTGATCATCCACTTTACTCTTCTTTGCCTTTTTTTTATTTTTATTTTTATTGTTGTTGTGAATTCAAATAAAATCAAGAAAACGAAATATGTACAGCAACGAGAAACTCTCAAAGGGGGGATGGGGGGGGTTACAAAGAAAAAAAAAGAAAAGAAAAACAACAGTCTCATCTTTTCTTCTTTTTCTTCTTTATCCTTCTTCACTACACATCTCCGACGTATGAAGTGGAGGGTGAAGGAAGTGGGGATAAAACCAATTATAAAAGATAATAATAATAAAAAAAAAAAAAAACCATATTATCCCACAAGCTTGACAAATAAGAAAGAAACTAAACAAATACTAACAATAATAATACTAACAATAATAATACTAATAATAGTAATACAGTCTCCTAGAATTCTCTCTCTTCCCTTCTTCATCCTCTCTCTCTCCCTCTCTCCCTTTCTCTCCCTTAGGACTGAGAGTTAGATACATAGATATACATACATATATATATTGCTTATTTATTATAAGAACTAAGTCTCTGAGGATAAGAAACGTAAAACCGAAAAACACTTTTTTTTTTTTTCTCACTTCTCTTTTCTTACCATATCTTCAACGTAGTAGAATGAGAAGAAGTAATAATAAATAAAAGTTTGGGTAAAAACGGTTGGCCCGTTGTGATTGAGACAAAAAAAAAAAAAACGATGATTTTTTTTTCTTCTTTGGGGGTGTGGGGGTGGGGAGGAACATTCATACACAGAAACGAAAATAGAAAGAGAAACAGCGGGAGAGAGGGTGATGTATTATTCCCACAGAGAGAAAGAAAAGAAAGAAAAAAAAAAGGAGGGAAGGAATAATTAAAGAAATTAAGAGGCAAGAATAAGTATCAATATTGCCTTCTCATATGAAGATCACGATTTTTTAACACCATATCCCAGAGAACGTGTGCACACACTCATTATATTCCCACAGCACACGTGTCTACCCATTTTTCCCCCCACCCTCCCCTTTCCTTTTTTCCCGCAAATACATACATATCTATTTATATAAGTATATATATATATATATATATATATACTTATATACAGCAACACCCACATTCAATCCCCAACTACATCATTACAAACACACTGTTGAAACTTCTTACAGCATCCCATTTTTTCCCCCTTTTCTTCTTTTTCTTTTCTCAAATTCTCTCTCTCTCTCTCTCTCTCTCTTTTTCTTTTTTTTTTCTCTCTCTTTCTCAAACCCTCTTTTTGCTTTGCTTTGCTTTTCTTTTCATTTGTTTCTTCGCATTGCTGGATCACACACACACACACCAACAAAAAAAAAATCTCTTTATCGCCCCAGAGGCGAGAAGAGAGATAAAGTGCGGGTACTACAGAGTACAGTGACGGAGAGGGGACGCGTCTACGTCTCACGATGAAGTGAAGAAGAAGTAAAAACATAAATTGATGAAGGAATAAAAATAAAATAAAATATAAAAAAACGAAATATAAGTTAAATAGAATGAAGGAAACCAAAACAAATAAATACATAAAAAAAAAAAAAAACATAACGGATTCAAAAAAGAAAAAAAAGAAAAAAACCATGAAAACATTTTGAATTAAGGAAAATAAACAATTTCTTTTTATAAGGTTCATTGCTTCCCACTCCATTTCACTCTTTGCACGCATTAATAAAAATAAAAAGAATAATAAGACATACCAAGAGAAAAACAGTATCTATATATATATCTATATATATATATATATATATATATATAGATACATTGATATATGGATTATAATAGTTCTTTTCTTTTTTTTTTCTTCTTTTTTTTTCTGTTCATTACTTGTAAACCCCATTTTTTCTCAATACAGCACTGGCACACTCCTGCTACCGCTACTTCTGCTACTTCTGCTTGAGTTGTGCCCGCCCATTTTCTGGATATCAGGGAAAACAGCGTGAGAGACGCGGTTTACATACCGTGTAAGCACATCATTATTCCGCACATACATTAATGGTCCAGGGAAACGTGTGATATCTTCGGCATCAAAGATTGGTTTCAACACCGCATACACGGCGCAGTCATAAGTGGTGGGAAGTGCACCCAAGAGAAAACTTTTCCTTCCAACGATATGTTCCACCGACTGGAACTCCCGCAGTATCTGAAGTTCTTGATATTTCTTTTCTCTTACACCACCCTCTTCCATAGAGATCCAATCACCCATGGTTCTTGATATCCAGTCCGATATCATCTCCAAACTTCTCATTAAAGCACGTACAGCTCTTGCATAACGTGTGTTTTTCTTCTTATTACAACTCATGTAAACGGAATGATTCTGTATCATCTCTTTACTGTACTCAAGCATTGCCACAACCGCATCTCCCACAGCCTTTTCCTTATCTGTAATACAATGATCCATCTTAACATCAAACTCAGTTGTAAGATATTCCATGGCAACAATAACATTTCCCTCACATCGTCCCTTATATCGAATGAATGGTAAACATCCAATGGGTGAGTAGGAAGGATCTGTAAGAATAAATTCCTCATGTGGAATGCTTGCGAGCTGCAGGAATGTTTTTAACGCGATACACGATCTTGCAACTCTGGGAAACGTGAAAGAAGGTGGTGCCATATATAACTGTAGAATTTCTGAATCGTCACTCTTCATGATCTTTCTCTTTATCAAGTGTTTTCTGCATAAATTCACCACTTTGTACACTGTGATGGTGACTGCGACAATAGCTCCTGCGGTTGCAAAAGGATGCGAGCGAATCCAAGTAGAGGCGACATCAATATGAAGTCTCTCGCGTATACTCTTTTTAGCAGCGATTGGTGTTTTTGATGGAGGTGCTGCAGTTTTCCCCTCAACAGCCGGTGATGGTGATGGTGCGGGTGTACTCTTTGCTACTACAACAGGAACAACAGCAGTATTAGTAGTATTAGCCTCTTTCTTTGGTGCTGGAGTTTCTTTCTTTGGTGCTGTAATTTCTTTCTTCGCTGCTGGCACTTCTTTCTTTGGTGCTGGCGTTGGTTTCTCAGCTTTACTTGTAGTAGCAGCAGGGGCAGTGCCAGTAGAAGTAGTTTTTCCTTCCTTTTCAGCATTTTTCTTCACCATCGCGAGAGTGGCTTCCTTTACAGATGGCATTTTCTGCTTTCGTTCATTCTTCTTTCTACTAGCCATATGCATGATTTGAATCATTGGAATCCCAACGGCTAGGGTGCCTATGGTAGTCACAACAAGTCCACTGGGATGCATCTTTCTGTTATTCTTTTTTTTTTTTTTTTTTTTTTT